TCCAGATCTGATCTGTTTGGTACTTATGGAACAAATCCAAATACATTCAGTAAATGTTCTACATTGGGTGTTTGTGTGGTTCCGTCTTCTCATTGTGCACATTTCTCACATTCACATCATCTGGTTTTTATGTTGGACATAATTCAACCGTGTAAAAATGAGTTTTATCGCTAAATCCAGCACAACTTAGAAAATTATTCTTTTGTAGCACTTGTCTGAAAAACAAAGCATTCGTTATTTTGCTTTATAGCAATGTATGCGGTGTTATTCCTTTGTGGGCAGAAATGTGATATGGCTTCATTTTCTATCATGCCGTAAATCTATATATTTTGGTGATTTGGACACTTCTAGTTTACCGCAGAGTCCGCGAACAAACGTTATTGGCCCTGTCACGACCGATAGGCGATCTGCTTCAACGATATCTTTATTTTGAACTTTTTTTCTGCTAGCTCCCTTTCCTTACATAGCTTAACAAGACACCCTGTCGCTTTGTTTGTCGTACCATATTCAAATTGCTCTGTGAAAAGGAGTACTAAATCTGCATCTGAAATCAGCTCCTTGCAATACTGGACTTGAACCTTCTTTGCGGTCTGGAATTTGGCATAATATGTTTTTCTAACGCAAAAAGCCTTCTCTGGGTTACTCCAAAATATCGCTGATGTAGCGGTACTTGTCTGACCAGTTCAGATGTAGGCAGAGATTTTGGCGTCTGAATGATAAGCGCCAAGCATAATTCTTCTCAAGTCCAGAGCAGATTTAATTTTTTTAATGTAGAAGTTATCGCTTGATTTCTCACGACCCTCGACTTTGGGGAAAGTTAGCAAAATTGTATTACCCGACATCTGTCACTGCCAGGAGTAACGGAAAAAAACTGAAAGGGGGGGGGAGGGTTGGGATGATTGCAGTGTCTTCGGGTAAATCAATCCACCCTTTTTAACGTGATTTACTTGTTTCTAAGGGTGTACGTTTGTTTTGATATTCACTCGCACGAAAGGCCAATTACAACACGCACAGAAATATATCTGGTCATTTGGGGTGATAGAAAACAGACATTTCCATTGGAAGATAGATAGATAGATAGATAGATAGATAGATAGATAGATAGATAGATAGATAGATGGATAGATAGATAGATAGATAGATAGATAGATAGATAGATAGATAGACATTGTGAAAACTATGCGATATACTTTCCGAAATATCGATATTATTTCCAGATAAGCTTATAGTTTCTGGTTTAAAAAAGAAACAAAAACAAAATAACACTCTTGTTTATTTCCATGTATACCTATGCTTTTAACAAAGTGTACGCATGGAAATATTTTATTAACATGCATAATAACAAGAACTAATATTTAAATTATCATTCCAAGGAATGCTTGTTTCAATTTCTCCTTAAATGGCGGGACTATCTGGGCAGATAGCCGGAACGTTGAAAACAGTAGGGTCAGTGATGGACTTAACAGGGTTGCTGGTAAAGCCGATTTGCTGTCCAGTTGGAACTGAGGAGGAGATAAAAACAGGCATTTTGGCTGTTAAGCTTTCTCCTTGATCAATAACCTACAGAATGTGAAACTATCACCAGAACTTAGAAAAATACGAATAGACAATATAAACTGTTAAGAAGAGAAACATACTGCAAATGTACAAACTTCAAACTACATGGTACAAGGTATATTTTTTTATATAATATGTTGAAAGGGTGTTCTAGCTTTTCATATATTTTCTAAAACACATATACACACATACATACATGCATGAACATAACCACACACTCACACACAAACACAGACACAGACAGACACACAGACACACACACACACACACACACACACACATACACACACACACACACTTACACACACACACTCTCTCTCTCTCAGTCTCTCTCTCTCGCACACACACACACACACACACACACACACACACACACACACACACACACACATAAACGCACAATTACTCACGCACTAAAAAAAATCGTAAATTATGTCGTCTGTTATGCACTGAAAATAATCATATTGAGAAAGAAGAAGACAAATGAGAGGAAGAAGAAGAAGAAGAAGAAGAAGAAGAAGAAGAAGAAGAAGAAGAAGAAGAAGAAGAAGAAGAAGAAGAAGAAGAAGAAGAAGAAGAAGAAGAAGAAGAAGAAGAAGAAGAACAACAACAACAACAACAACAACAACAACAACAACAACAACAACAACAACAACAACAACAACAACAACAACAACAACAACAACAACATCACCATCATATGTGTCACAACGTAGTGGAATCAGGTGCTAGTCGATCTTTGGGCGTGTGGAATTATTGGTATCATCTTAAAGCTTGTTCATATGCCTTGCTGCCAAAGATTAGTCATTTCTTTAGCTTGTTAGACGTGGAAACTGAAAAACTATAACAAGAAAACAAACAACAACAACAACACGAACAACAATAGCTACAGCAACAACAGCAACAACAACAGCAACAACAACAACAAACAAGAATCTATTTACAGTCATCTCTCCTAAGCATATAGTAAGAGTCCGATTGTCCAGGCTCCGTGTATGTAATCAGAGTCACATTGTAGTCCTTGGTCACAGGGATCAACCAACCCAGTAGTTTTACTTTGTTCACAAAACCCTCGAAGATTTCACCAAGGAACACGCTTTTTTCTGTGGGACATAATTCAAACAGATGGGAATAACACAATGTAGAAAAAAAAGTTGGGTAAAATTAATGAAATAGCCAAACTCTCCACAGTGAATACTGACGCTAAAGTATACTATGGCATTCGAAAACCTTTCAAATATTCAAATATTAGATCCATTGCTTACAGCTGTGTCATAAACTATTTAAATTGGAGAGTACCTAGTACTACCGCTCCTTGTCGAAGAGAAAAATGGCCGTGTTAGACATACTGTCATCTTAACTTTTTAACCGTATGTCGTGTTTTACTATCGTACCCATACGACGTGAGGAACTCTGTGTTACCACTTTCTAAGAGGAAATCCACTCGTTAATCCTATCCGTACGCTTGGCATATTAGTCTTCCCAAACGAATTTTTGAGAAATACTGTAAGTTTCAAAGAGATCTTCGTACTAGAAGTATTCTAAAATGTGAAGAATACAACCCGGGGAGTACAAAATGACCCCAGGGCGTACGGATAGCTTTAAAACGCAAGTGAAGAACCAAAAATTGGCTTTTTGCACAGACGATTGTCTTATACAAGTGGCCGTGGGAGCAGATTCCACTTCGTTTTTATTTTCAAGGACAGTTAATATTATGTTTTTTATCAACTATCAGAACACTGGGTCACGTCCATTATTTATTACTGAGTAGACTTATTTTTTACAGTGAAGCCGACGTGGGACGCTCACTGATAAAAACAATCAGGAAACGACAAATGCAGTTTTAGGGACACCTGAATAGACATAAATGTCTTGAATATCTAGATCTCACAGGAAAAACCGAAAGCAAACGAGGCTGGGATAGACCCAGAGCAACATAGTTAGGGAACCTGAGCAATTAATGGTAACTGGGAAAGATAAGGGAAACGTAGCTTTTTTTAGAGCATCAGAGCAAAGGAATGAATGGAGAACCATGATCGCCGATGTCCGTGGCAGGTCTGGCACTTGATGATGATGATCATCATGAGTAGAGGAAATTGTTCCAAGCTGGATTTGGCCACGGGCCCCGGTCTGTTCGTGTCTGGTTTAATGTCTTATCTTTATACGGGGTGCCCACTACGGATGGGATTGGCCGATTGGGCCGATCGCCTGACTCGGTCGCCTAAAAAACAAACGTGTTTGTTTTCAGTTTCAGGCGACCAAGTCGGGCGATCGGATCGATCCAGCCATAGTGGGCACCCCGTATAAGGGACAAACGGTCTCTGTGGCCTTAGAGCAGTTCTGGTTTCAGGACAAGGATGGCAAAACCACAAGAGTCACCTCAGATAAATATCTAAACTCGCAGAGAAAGTTTTGTAGAAGTTTGGGGAGAAATATTTATTACTTGATGTACTGGCCTGGTTTCAGTACGATGAGGCCACAACCCACACATCAAGGGTGGCTCTGAGATAAATGCAGGAAAGGTTTGGGGAAAACTTATGAAACAAAAAATCTACACATTTACCACATCCCCCTTAGGGCCCCGTCAATTATTAAATTTGGTTCGTTTTGACACACAGAGTCTACGGAAACAACCCCCAAACAATTGGACACTTGAAACTTAATGTTGAACAGGACGTCAAAGGAATCGACTTAACTCTTTAAATCCGGAGTTTTTTTCACCGTTTCCCGGAGTTTTTGTGTACAGTCACCTAAACCTGGTGCACTATGTCTCATTATTACCCCAAAAGCTTGCCTGCAACTTCTAAATAACGAAAACAAAGGCTTAGTCATTATTAACCCAAAAAAAACTTGGATTGGGAATATTTCCGGAAAAAAGAAGAAACCAGCACTAAATAAAACGAAACAGTTGCCACTAGTATCAGACGCTCCTAGCGTCCGATGGGGAACAGGGTTATTAGCATTATTACCACCGTACGCTCCCAGTGTCTGATGGGGTTTAAAGAGTTAAATCATGCAACAGGGTTATTCAAAATTTCCAGTGGCGTATTGCAGCTTGTGTGGAAAGAAATTGTACACCCGGATATTTAAATAGCAAACACCTTCCTTGAATATATTTAGCAATATCAATTTTGAATAATTTCTTCTTCAGTGCACAAATAGTGGCTTATTATTTGAAATAGAACAATATGGTTGCTTTTTAAGAAGTTGCACAGTTTTCCGTCTCAGTCAATTTTGGTTGAATTTTTTTTTATTTGATAATTTTCGAAACAAAAGGGTTAATTTTTTATATTAAATACTGTTACATTTTATTTCTCAGAAGTTTTAAATTGGTTCAATGATAAGAGATTTATTGCCGTTTAAGTTGGTACTTTTTTTTAGACAGCTGGTATTTATTATTGATCTACCTGGGAGGTCGATAGTGCCGTAAAACACCTACTTAATCAATCAATCAATCTACCTGGGAGGCATCTTGTGAAGTATCCGGAGGGAGAAAGAGGCTCCCTGGTGCAAGCACCTGTTGCGTCAACCACGTAGGTGTATTTCTGTAAAACAACCATAGAATAATTAATAATTTTGCCAAAGTCGTCACAAGACATTTTGAGATTGTTGCAAAACAAGTATAATACATTTTGACTATTTGGCTTAATGTAGGAACAGAATGTCATTTTTGGAAGATCGGGTCTTTAATTTAAATGTAGTAATTCGTATAAAGCGAGAGTGGCTGATTTTGAAGATTCATTGTTAAACTAATTTCAATGTATTAGAAGTAATGGATTTTTAAAGCATTGTCCATCTCTATTGAATTACCTTTCTGCAGTTTACTCTACTGTTAATCTTTGATGTTAGTAAACTATGGTTTCCATCTTCAAAGACTGTAAAAAGAGTAATTATCTCTCTTTCTTGAAAATGCAACGTAAGAACTAAGATTAGTGAGGGCTTCGGTTATTCCATATCTCTCTTTCTGGAAACCTAATAATAATAGTAGTAGTAGTAGTAATAGAAATAATAATAATAATAATAATAACAACAACAACAACAACAACTACAACAACAACAAGAATAGCAATAATAATAACAATAATACTAACAATAATAATAATATTAATACCAATAGTAATATTAATAATAATAATAATAATAATAATAATAATAATAATAGTTAAGTTTTAGTAGAGGTTTTACGGGGCTCGTAACTGCATAAGGTCATATGAGCGCCAAGGGGTGGATGTCAACAGAGAAGTCCTTACAGGGAATCAGACTTACTCTGTTCAACTCTCTAGCTTCAACAGCACAAAGTCTGCTTCGACTATCAAGGCACCCCGAAATAGCGGGTCACAAGAAAGTGACAAACATAAAAAAAAAGTAGAGGAAAATGACGATAGTAAGGATTAGGAAAGAAAAAGCAGCAGTTCCCTGTTGTAGTTATGAGCATGACATTGTTCGAGTAGCCCATTTAAAAACTGTGGTTTAGAAATTATTATTATTATTATTATTATTATTATTATTATTATTATTATATAATGATAATAATATAATAATAATAACAACAATAATAACGATAATAATGATAATAATAATCATATTATAATGGAGCAAAGCCCGTTTTTGAGGTCGGTATAGTACATTTTTTACACAGGTGCCCATAAAATCTACAAAAATATGATTCCGTTAAGCATTGTCACAAAGGGTTACGTGGGCATATTTTCGAAGTTCGAAAACTACCTTTTGATTTTTTATGTTTGATAGTTTATCCTGTAAATCGAAGCTCTCAGATGTTTTCACTCGGACATTAGCCATTTCATGTTTTACTGGGGACTACTTCCGTTTCGGTTTGTGCTTCGTCGTGTGTGTGTGAAGCTGCTTCTACTATTTCCAGATCTAGAATCTCGATAATATTCTGTTACGATTTGGGTGCTTCGCAGTGTCGATGGATACTTCCGTTCAAACTTCATTGTCTTGACCTAGATGTATTTTGTGTAGTCATGTCCCCAACATATTGAGTTCGTTTAAACCCACAAAATGTTTACTTCGTTGCATTGACGTTTTTTGAAAATTTGGTACGTATTTGGTGTGTAGTTGTTGTTTTTTATAAAGCAAGACTCTTGACATAGGTCTCTCATCCTAGATGTATTTGGAGCACAGCAGAATTCAAGACTGATTTTGAGTAGTTAGCAAGAACATGAGTGCGGTTTGTGCTTCGTCGTGTGTGTGCCAAAAGAGTTCTACTTCGTGTTTGCAAAGCTGCTTCTACGGTTTCCAGGTCTATAATTTCGATACCTAACTCCAGATGTGTGCGTCGCAGTGTCGATGGATACTTCAGGTCAAATTCAATGTATTGACATGTTCTAGATACACCTGGTATAGTGATGTCCCCAACACGTTGAGTTCGTTTAAACCCACAAAACCTTCACTTCGTTGTATTGACGTTTTCAAAATTTAGAGCGTGCTTTTTATAGAGCAAGGACCCCGATCTCTATCCTAGATGTATTTGGAGCACAGAATTCAAGATCATACTTTATTTCAATACAATAAAGAAGAAAAGATTTTATGCAGTCTTCAGTCTCCTCAATGCTAATATATTTTCCAGTTCAGAGAACTGGGATCTTGCTAGTAATAATAATAATAAT